ATTTATTTATATCCCGCCCAGTGGTACTCCAATCAGGGCAGCTTACAATGATCAGCTTGACATCCTGTGTTGTCAAATGTATACAAAAGGCTCAATTCAATTTTAGTCATGACTTGAGCAGACCCGCTGAAATGAATGGGATTGAAATTGAATGTACCTTGAGACCTATTAGTTCCTGTTCTAATTTGCTGCTGAAACTCATACATTTGCTCCTTGCTATCATTTCTAACCTGAGATGTTTCTTTCAGTAAAGATCGTAAAAATGTCTAAGCAAGCTAGGAGTCTTGTGGACCTCCCTGTGTTGGACTGGAACTCCCATCTTCCCTCACTATTGACTGCTGGCTAGGGCTGATTGAAATTGTAGTCCAACAACATCTGAAGGTCCAGGAAGGTCATACAGATGACAAAGACTGATTCTTAAATCTTCCAAGTTTGTGGTGACACTTATGTGCCAGTGTGGTGTAGTGGTTTGATCGTTGGACTATGACTCTTAAGACCAGTGTTCAAATCCCTGCACTGCCATGGAAACCCACTGGGTGACAGTCAGACTGTTTCAACCTCAAAGGAAAGCAATGGCAAACCTCCTCTGAACAAATCTTGCCAAGAAAACCCCCATGATAGGTTTGCCTTAGGGTCACCATAAGTTGGAAAAGTAAAGAGAATGCTATTTTGAAAGCTATGTTAGAAAAACCAGCCCTTTATAATTGGTATGACTTTTCTTTCTTTTTCTTTCTAAAGTATAAGAAGGAAAATAAATAGTTTAGGTTAAGGTGAGGGCTTTTCTGTTATGTGGTATTGTCATTGCTGTATATTACAAATGCTAGAAGGAGCTAGACTTTTTGTTTGTGTGTATGAATGTGCTTATTTTTCCTTCAAGTTTATGACTTTTTCCTCTAAAATTTGTACAAACCAGGCAGCGTTCTGCAGATTGTTTCAGCTCCTGGGCAGCAGTACTTACGACCTCAGGGCCCAGTGGTCATGCAGACAATGTCTCAGGCTGGATCTGTTCAAAATGCTCTGAACACTTTAGGAAATCAGCATCCAGCCAGCTTCCCAGCTTCAGCAGTTACACAGCAAGGTAAGAAATTTTTCCTATATGTGTAATCTGGAGGACACTATAAAGAGCAGATCTGAACAGATGCCCTCTCCTAATATTCCATGTCTCCCCTTTTTCCCTGGCCTAACAATAGAGTATAAGGTAAAATAAAGCACTCTCAAGAGATGGCCATCCAGCCTCATTTTAAAGAAATCCAAAGAAAAAGAGTCCATCACATTTTTAGGCACCCTGTTCCAGTGTAGGAACTGCTGTTGCCATCAAGAAGTTTTTCCTAATGTTTGGGTGGAATCTCTTTTCTTGAATTTTTAATCCATGAAATTTGTTTTAGGTCTTTCCACCCATCCTAGACCCCTGCAGGTCGCTCTCTCTCCTCTTTGGATATTTTATATATCTGTTGCCAGACCCTCCTCCCCAAAGTCAGAAGATGAGTCAGGCTCTGCTAGCTCAGAACACCACCGCCACTCCATTCTTTGCTGGCTCTTTCAGGATAGCTCCTGACTATACTGGCTGGCCTGTTGTATCACATTGATTCCAAAAAACTCATTAATTTCTTTTGTAGCAGAGTAAAATTAAGAACAAAAACATTCATGGTAGTGGCCACGTGGATTGTTTGAACTGCTTGAAAGCAAGAGGTACTGTTGGTCTTTAAAAGGTTGTGCCTGCAAGCTGTGCACTTAAATCTGTATTCTTAAAGTCAGGAATATGCATGTGCTGGGAGTCATATGGCCATTTTTAGCATCTTTGCAGCTATTTTGAGTAACTGGAAGTGGATATTTGAGGGATTTTTTTAAAGTTTCAGGACACACACACACACCCAACAGCATCTTAACAGAAAAACTCTTTCTTATATTCTAAGCCTGCAAAAGTTACCAGCTGTCCTTAACCCATAATTGGCATGTTGACAGCCCCTCTTTTTAGCAGAAACCAAGCTGTCAATAAAATTTCCAGCTAAAAACTGAGTGGAATGGCAGAGGAAGGGTGGAGCACTCTTTCCTCTCCAGCTTGCTTCTTTTTGATTGTGACTGTGTGGGAGGGTGGGCCTCCCTCCTTCCACCTCCAGCACTGAAACCAAGTAAACTGGCAGAGGGTGCTGCATCCTTCTTCCATCAGTCTGATCGGTCACCTGAATGTAGTTCTTTCTCATCTGTTGGGACAAGGCAAATGGGTAAACATAAAGTTAGGATGGGGAATTCTCTGTTGTCCTTGTCTTGGGGTTGAACATATTGTAGTGTGTTGGAGAGGCTGACTCAGGCCCTTCACACAGAGGTATGTAGTAACTTCAGAAGAGCATATTTGAAATGTATAAACACTTGGTTTATCTTTAAGCATGTGTTCCAGGTAGAACAATGGGTACTAATTTAGCATCGGGGGACTCAGCTTCATCTTTAAAACCTGGCCTTATACATGGAGGACATTCACAGGTATTCCTACTAATGACTGCTTTGTGAACTCAGGTGTCAGATTAAAATGGTTTCCCAATCTCTTTGGAATGGAAACACAGATTTTTCTTAAAACAGCATTTAATTTTTTTATTCTTTTATTTTGTCAGTAATAACATTTCTCTCTCTAATTTATCAGTCTTCCCATCCATCTAGATGTATATTTTTATATATGGAAAATTTGTAAAAATAACTGTTATCTTATATGTAAATAAGATTCTGAAAGTAATAGGTTCCACCAGTAACATGTGAAAGGGAGATTACAGCAAACTTGGGAAAGTTATGGGATATATTTATTTATTGGGGGTTGGGAGAGTGACAGCTCACTTACAAACAACAACAGTAACGTTGCTTAGGGCTGGTGATAGTTGCAGTCAAGCAACATCTAGAGGGCCACATTGTTTCCATTCCCAATGTAGCTACATAAATCAGCCCTATTTTATTGTGCATTATGCAAGAAAAGCAGTCCCATTGGATTAGGTCTTTAGAGCTGCATATCTAGACCAATCCTACAAATTTTCTGGGAATTAAAAGTCATTGAATTCAATGGAACTAATTCCCAGGTACATAAATTTAGGATTGCAGCTAGGTAAAATGCTGTGGCTGTTTCCACTGCTGTAATAAGGCATGATCTTTGTTGTTGTTGGTTTTTGTCCTTTTGCAAAGGAGACATATGAAGAAAAAAATAGACTTCTAAAGGAGCGCTTGGACAGGATCTTCTTTTGCAACGAACGTCGCTGTTCCCGAGCTCCAGTTTATGGTGCAGATCTCCTTAGACTTTGTTCTCTGGTGGGTGACAGAAGGATGCCCCCTCAGTTTTCCACAACAGCCAGCAAATGGAGATGGGCAGGCTTTGCCAACTGTTGCCTCTCATGTAATACTTCTGGAGACCATAGTGATCCACTGCAAGAGCTGAGGTGGACGCTGGAGCGGCAGCAGGGCTCTCTGAGAGATGCTGTTAATAGGTGATTTGTAACTTGCACTCATACATTGAAAGTTAACTTGACTACTCAACTTTCAGGATAATCCCACTCCTGATCCTATAGGGATGGTCCATATGTTTATAGGGGTGGTCCATGTGTTTCAATAGGACTGGGAAACTTTAGGGTGAGTTTTCCAGGTAGTGGACAGTGACATTCAATTTTAGCTACATGCCACTTGCCATGCTTTGTTTAGAGGTGGGTGACTAGAGCTCTTTCCTTCCTACTCTCTGATTTACTCCAGAGACATAAAGCTCATCCTTGCCTATACGAGTATCAGAAAGGCTTTCATTCAGAAGTGAAAAATCACAGGCCCTACGATCTCTAGGGTTCTCAAAATGGCCATACCTTCTTACTTGTGACATGGCTTGGTGAATTTCCAGTAGTTTTTCCCCATTCTGAAATGTTGAAAGGTCTCCCCTAAGGAGGCTCAGTTATATACAGCAAGAGCTTTAAGTATTTAAAATTATACTGGCATTTTGGAGTTTACCCTCTTGCCCCACCCACCTAGAGGAATGTGGTGCCTGGGAATCTCTCTAAAATTTAATGTGGGTCTCTTGCTGAAAGAGATGTTTTTCTCTTACCCTCATAGATGAGACTAAAAAGCAATCTAGTCTTATCATTCTGATTTCTCCTGTGACCAGCCAGATGCTTCTAGGTTAGGGATGGGGAATATTTGGTCCAGATGCTTGAGATTACAACTCAAATAATCCCTAATTTGGTTATGCTGGTAGAGGTGGATGGGATCTGTAGGCCAAAACATTTAGAGTGGCCAGTTTCCCTATCCCTATGCTAACTAGTTTGTGAGTAGATCATGAAAGCAGTAGCTTTCTTAGTTGTTGCTCTGCAGTAGTTGGTATTCACTGGCATTCTGTCTTTGAATTCTTTGAATATGCTCAAAGTTGGGAGTATTCCATCACACACCAGAGCCCACAGCAGTATCCAAGAGATTGTGCCTCACCTGCTTTCACCAGTCTCTTGCATACTTCTTCTACAGCATTCATGAAGGGAGGAGGAGAAGCTGGCAGATGTTGGAAACAGCTAGTTTCCTCGAGAGACAGGATTTGATTCCCAAGGGTTTGGGTTAATGATTCTATGATTAATCATGTTACTATCTCTCAAGTAATATATCCTAAATAACTGACATTCTTCCTTTGTTTCTCAGGGTGCTCTGCATTCTGCCATCTGCTGTGGCTGCTCCTCCGTTTTTGCATGTGGCAAGGCTTCCCCCACTGTATAACCATAAAATGAAACTGCTTAGGCATCATCTGAGAGAGAAGGCAGCTCCTTTCCTGCGTCAGCTACAGCAGCTCACCACTCCACAGTTGCTTCAGTTTCCTGACCTCCGATTGGTGCAGTATGATGCAGGTAGAGGAGTATATTTAAAAACTAGCAAGCAAACAACACAAAAAAAGTTGGCTGGATTCCACAGGACCAGGAATTGGATGAATGTGCTCCAGAAGGTTCTTAACACTTTACTCTTTCTGAAATGTAGGGAAGTTGGAAGCCCTGGCAGTCTTGCTTCAGAAGCTGAAGTCGGAAGGACGCCGGGTACTGATATTGTCTCAGATGATTCTCATGTTGGACATCTTGGAGCATTTCTTGAATTTCCATTTCCTCACCTATGTGAGGATTGATGAGTGTGCAAATCAGGAAGAACGCCAGGTAAACTCAATAACTTGGACCGGTCACTTGCATCTCATTGTATTTGCAGGTTGCAGTTGAAAGCATGCATTCTTCCTTCTACACTGCGCCATCCTAATTTCTCAGTCTCCAGTGTGCCCACAAAGGTTCTGTTGCTCATATAGAGCATGAGAAACATAGCAAGCTGATTTATAGTTAGTAAGACCATAGGTCTATCTAGCCCAATATTATCAACACTGCATGGCAGTTGCTTTCTAGGGTTCAGACAGTGGCCTACTTGGAGATGACAGTGATTGAACTTGAAGACTTGCTGCATGTAAAGTGTGTGCTTTTTTACTGAGCTATGGCCCTACTGATTGAATGGGAACTGGAAACATGCTGTATTTATTTTAAAAATGTTAT